CCCACCCACACCCTTCGGGCCTCTCTACTCTAAGCGTGTTTATCTGGGATCCCCATCAGTTCTCTCTCTTTCCCCCAAATCAAGCCCGCACCCTTGAAGGTCTGATCCCGGTGCCCGAAAAGCATCCGGTCCTCGCTGGGCAAGCTACTCTGCTGCTCCAGGACTACCTCAAGGGCCTCCCTCTGGTCTTCGTGGACAGCCCTGCTGACCAAAACTCCTCCACCACTCCTGCTCTGCAGTTGCCGTTCTCAGGTGTGTTGCATGCCTGCAAACAGAAGCAGGGTGATCGCTTGCAAAGCGAGCCTGTGGATTTTGCCTTGCCTTGCAAGTCACTGGTGCAAAGCCGCGTCTCGTAAAGTCTGCTGATTTTCACTACACCGCAGCAAGCGTTAGAAGAAAGTTGTGGAAACATCAAGTCACTGGAACCACCAATGCAGCGATGAGTGCGTCTCAGTGCCCGCTTTCTGCGTTGGCTGGGCCTGGCACTCGCTCTTTGCTGACTTTCTGGGGGCTTGCGCGACTGGATTTTGAAGAGGATACCGAGGAGGAGGGAATGGGAAGCAAGGGGATCCAAGGGGGCCAGAGCTTCTGCAGGTTGCTGCCCGCAGTCTCCCAGGCTGACCATGACAACAGGCCTGTCTTGGAGGAGATGGGAGGAGACCCGGGGGAGGGGGGGAGCCGTTGCCTGCCCAGTCCCTGACCCTGTGTTGAGGCCTTGGGAGAGGCGCGCTGCCCTGTTAGAGGGCTTCCGTAGCTCGTTCCAGCTGCCTCTCCACCAGTAGGAGCCACCCTGATGGTGGAGCCCGCAGTGCGAATGAAAGGGGAGGACTGGGGAGAAGGTCGCCATTTGAGCTCAGTGTGCACTCTTTACATGAGCAGAGGCTTATGGTTCAGCTTGCTAGAGGACCCTTAGAGTTGCATTATCTTGTTTGCTGTGAAGTGCCAATGAAGAACTACTTTGAAAAGGGCAGTCTGGTGTTTTGGAGCCTAAGGGCAAGGAAGGGAAGAGGCTGGCTCACTACACTGTGCACACGGAGGGTCTCAGGTTCAGTCTGTGGCATCTACAGCCGAAAAGAACTCAGTTTAACCCTGGAAAGCAGCTGCCGGTCAATGCGAGGTTTAACGGATAAATGTTCTGTCACAACCTATGGCAGCTTCATGCATACACATGCCACCCCGGGAGAATTCAGGGTTTCTAATATTTATTTACATTGTGTGCATGGGGCTTAATCGCACAATCTCTCTAAGTGGTTAAGAAACCAAGTACTATGAAAACACATCAAAAACTCACTTCCGTCCCTGTGTTTTGAACGGTCATGGTGAGTGTTCTGGAAGGCTGGTGCCACTGCCAAGAAGGACTACCTTCCAAGAGGGCCTTTGCGCAGTTCTCACTGCAGAACCTTAACCCTTCCTTTTCCCCTCCGGTCACTATATTATACTTACAATGTGGCCATAATTCATGTTTTTCCCTTGGCACGCAAGCTTTGCCGATACAGGAATTATCACGTTTTTCTCCATTTCTGCTCTATGCCAGCACAGGCCTCTGCATGTCCCACGCAAGCCAAGAGACAGATCAGGGTCTTTCCATTGGCCCTTCTGCTTTCAGAAATGATGGGTCAAGTATTACTTCACTCTCCCAAAAGCATTGCTACATATGATCTGATACTGACATTTGATACCAATGCCGACGAATTCATTCAGATTTCAGGTTTAAGACTGGGTCTACACAAATCTCATGGTCACAGCGTCTAGCTAAATTCTTTGGCCTTTCCGTTTCTTTTCCATCCCCTGCACTGATTGGTCCAAATAAAGCTATTAGCCAATTAGGGAGTACTCCGTTGGTCACTGATACATACTTTGATGTCTGACTTCATAGGCAGCCACTACATAATCATCTCTCTCTGATCTTAATATCCTTCCATTACATTTAAAAATAAAAAGCACACATTTGTGAAGTTCAAATGTCCTCAGAGGGAGAATTCCCGCATTAAAATCTTAAATAATAGCTCTTGATTGCCAATTGCTTGCAATTACTTGCTACCTATAGCTTGATAGGGTGTGAAATATAGGTGGCAATTTGATGTCATTCTGAACATTTGATGCCATTTATTACAGCCTGAGAGTAATAAAATCAAGTACTAGATTCAACGATGGGTCAGTTCTCACATCAGTGGAAATAAAGACAAAGTTATTTATACAGATGTGCATAACTGCCCATATACATTTTGAGATCCCTCTGTACAAATGGCACACATTTGGGCAAATGATCAGAGACATTAACTTGGAAATATTTAATGAGATTTAAATGAGGCATGACTGTTAAAGCGCTGCAATAATAAATATGTGTCCTGTATCAAAAATAGTTACATAAATGTCTAAAATGTGCGTTTTTTTCTTGGCTTTCCATTCAGTGACATTGGGCACACTCTTTCTGTTTTGGTAACTCAAAGCTCCAAGCCTCATATAGTGCAATATCTTTGACAGACAACAGAAAGATTGCCAAAAACGTGTCAGCCTTGGCGCTCTCCAGATCTTCTCATCAGGAGAGACATTACAGATCTGCAGGGTGGGGTGCAGGAGAGCAGGGTGAAAAGGGCAATGGGATGCTGTGGTCATGACACCTGCCGAGGTGGTTGCAGGTGATGCAGAGGAAGAGGGGATGGCAGACATTCAGACTGGCCCTGCCGGGTGACGTGAGGATTCCACCACGCAACTGTAGAGTTGCGGGGAAGCATGGGGGCAATCCAGATCAAACTGGGGTGAAGAAGAGGCCCCCACTTCCTTGGGCAAGACTGTTCCCCAGTCAAACACATGACGGCACATGTATGCATGCACACATCTGCACCAGTTAGGAAATATAACTCGTTTTCCTTATCCCCCTCCCGCCTGCCCGCCACTCAGATGTTTGATTTCTCTGTGCGTACGTTGGGGATCCTTCATGTCACTGCTTTAGCAGACCAGAGAATTTGTAGCTCCATGCAGCCTTTTCATCATGGCAGGTTTTGCTGAAGGTGTATACAAAAATGCAGAGGCAACAGTTCTGCTGCGTACGATGATTTGATGGTGCAATGTACAATGCCCAGAGAAACTTTTGACTTGCGAAAAAGTGGGGGGAAAGTACATTCATCTGAATCGCCAGGCAAACAGACCCAACATGCAATCTTTACTAACTGCTACGCTCACAAGCTATGGATGGAAGAGCAAGAATTGAATCAGAGGCTGGACTGACAGAATCCAAAGCAAAATGCACGAGGTGCTTCTCCAGAGGTTAGTCAGGACACAGGCTGCTTCTGCGCTTCCTTACACTTTTTTATATAACAACTCATTTCTTCTTTTCTCCATAAGGAGGAACCTGCTACTTGAAGCCAAGCACAGCTATTTGAAATACAAGGTCACCTTGGACAAGGAAGGTCCTACATGGGAAAGGTCACAAGAGCTGCAGGGGATACTTCTGGTTAACAGGTAGTCCACACTATCCCTTCCTCAATGTTTTAGATTTCTGTTCCTATCAGTTCCAAGGACCACGGTTAATGTTCAGGGATGCTGGAGGCTGTCATGAGGAGAACATCTGGAGAACATGAGGCTGCAGGAGTCTGCAGCACGTCATACTCATGTGCTTGGAAGCCCTTTCACTCTCTCATTACGACCATTTTAAGAGCCCCCCTGCTGGATGAGGTGATAGGCCCATCTAAGTCCAGCATCAGGCTTCACATCATAGCCAACCAAATGTCTACAACAAGTCCACAAGCAGGACACAGCTGCCCTGAACCTAGAAGTAGTGTAGCAGGAACTGGTGGCTGCTGATTGCCTTAACCTTCTTGGATTTCTCTAGTCCCCTTTCCAAGCTGTACGAGTTGGTAGCCAGCTCATCCTTTTATATTTTATTTATTGAGCAATCTGTTGTTTATTTATGTGAGCAAAACAATCCCAAAAAGGGGAACAGAAACACCCAGAATTGTGTTGGTCTAGCTCAACCATTTTAAGAAGGCAACTTCTGGAATAGTCTTCTCCTCACTTCAGTGCCCTGTGGATATCTCGGACTCTCAGCATTCCTGACCATTGGCAGGAATGCAACTTTTTAGATATGAGGAAGCCAAACCAAAGGAAAAACACCGAGGGTTCCTCAGTAGTAGGGAACTGAAGAGAAATATTGTGAATGATCCCGGAAGAACGACTACTAAAACCCAGAAAGCTCTGCTAGAGGTGCCATACAAGTCAAAGGATGTGTCTGAACAGAAAATAGGGTCTTCCTCACCTCACTTAGAGATGGTCAACTGGACAGTCATCTGAATGCGACAGTGTAACTTAGTGTCCTGCACCAGACCTGATGGCCTTCTGGCCTTCTGATTCCCCTGTTCTATGACTCTATGAAGTAGTAAAGAACACACAGCACCCCACCCTTACAGAGCTGACGAAGGGACATGCTGCAGGTACTTCGTTGCAGAAGAAGAACTCATTCACACCAGGGAGGGGCAACTTTGGGGGTCTGGGAGGCAGAGCCAGCCCTGCATCACTTCTCACTCACCCCTGTTTCCTTCTTGGATGATTACAAGATGGAATCCAAGCAGCATCTGCTGGAGCTTCTTGTCCTCCATCTTATCATCATCTCTTTATGTATAAAAGTGCCTAATATAAAATAGCTGCCTTATTTCCATCTGGTTTCTTCCTCTGCACATCTCTCACACTGAAAAATCTATCAGTCAATCAATCACATTCTGACTACTGGAGAAGAGCCAAGCGATGCCCATGTTTTTATGGGTAGCCCTGAATCACTCCACCCTCCTGTTTTCCTCCCTCTTATCAGCTCAGAGGAAGTGAAGGTAGTTTAAATAAAAAAACAAAACATTAATGTGTTGCCCTTTGGCTCAAATGCAACCCCCAAGGTGACTTACAGCTATCTGCACATTCCCTAAAGGTACAATTAAGTGATGAGCAGCTGTGCCACTTTCTAAGTTTATTTTTCATCTTAAAGTACTCCCAGTGTTTTCATTCAGCATTACCTTGTTCCCAATGGCCTTTTTCGGTGGGAAGTTAAAACTCCTCACTTGGTGGTATTTCATCTGTAATTTGTGGTGCAGGGTTCTGAATTCTGCATATCTTCGATAGACATTCCATTCATCATCTTTTATTCTGATGTATACCTGTCAAAAGTAGATTGAAAAGGGAACCCATTTTATTGAAAGGAAGCACAATCAAGAGAATAACTATATATATATATATGTATATGTATATGTATATGCACCCTGCTGCATCAAATCTTAAGTCCAAATAAGCTGGGGTGCAGAACATCAAGCCCAAGGGCCCAATTTGGATGCCCGGAGGCTCAATCCAGCCCCCAGAGTCCTTCAGAAGGCCACTCCTCCTTCCCCTGGTGTGACCTCCCTTTTCCCCAACCAATGCTCGGTTGGCAGTTCTCAAGCTTTTTGCATTCTGAATTGCTCAATGCTTCTCCTGAGGATTAATTGCTGGGAGGAAGAGGTTTAAGGGACATCACATTGGCCTTCACGGTCCAGATGCTTTTCCTTTGTCCCTACCTACAACTGGAGCATCCTTCCCAGGAGGGTCCCTAGGACTGAGTTCGGACCTGCTGGATCGGACAAGAGCCCATCTAGCTCAGAGTTCTTTCCACACAGCTGGAGGCGGGAGCCCCACAAGAATGCTCGTACCCTCCTGCCCATGCTCCCTAAAAGCGGCTGCACACAGACATATCGCCTCTAGCTGCCAGGATTAGCAGAACCTTCTCCATGAATTTGTCTCCATGAGGCCCCTTTCCGAACCATCCCAAGCGGTGGCCATCACCATGCTTTGGGTGGTGAATGCCATCATTTAATTCTGCACTGGGTGAAGAAGGCTTTCCTTTGATCTCTTCTGGATCTCCCCCCATTTGTCTTCATGGGATGACCCATGAATTCCAGCATTTTGAGAGAGGGAGAAAAATGTCAGGCGCTGAGGTTCCTCCGTTGTGCATTCAGAAGCCTTTTCCTTGCAAAGTGCTCTTTACTGACCAAAGCACACAGACACCTGGAAGGAATCTCTGAGCATTCACAGGGTGGGTTGTTGAACCCAATCTAGTATTTACCTCCAGGAAATCTCATTATGAGCATGCCTGGGCACCATCCCTTTGGGAAGGCCCTTCTGAAAACAAGCACGTCTCCTCTCTACGTGCGGATCTTCTAATTGGGCCGTTCTCCTCTGCTGATGTTACATCATGGGGTCAAGAGCCACAGCTGCCTCATCTGTGTCTGAGAAACCCCCCTGCCCTGGCCCCTTCATCATTTCAGTTGCCTTTTGCTGCACTGTTTCTGCATGCAGCAGAACACCAAACAGAAAGGGGGCAACTGTTGCACATTGCTAGATAGGATGCGACCCTTCAAAATACAGCAGTGCAAAAATAGCACTCCCACAACCACGACTTTTAAAAATATGCTTCATATTGATCATATTGCCATGCATAGAACCGTACAGTAAAGAACACTGTGTGAAAAATAAGGCACTCATTTCAGCTGGATTGATACAAATTGTCTGACAACTGCTTCGATAAAAGAGAACCACATCTATGGAGAAAAGGCTCTGTAGCAGTACACAAACACATCAAGTAGTCCAGTGACAACCCGCACAATGCAAACAAGACTTTTGTAGACAGCAAGAGGCAAGAGAAGCGCTACACGTACCCAGCATTCACCCCATTTTAAAACCTTTATTACTATTCCAAATGAAAAGCAATGCAGGCACCTGAAGTAAATGCTTTTGCCAATACTGGAGGATGAATGCCAGCAGATTACAAGAATACACGTGCGTCCGTGTATTCAGAGCCACCATATTTAGTTGACTAATCAGTTAAACAGATCGGCCCCTTTGTGAGCGATTAAAAAGTTGTTCCTATTAAAAGTACAATTTCAAATGTAAGCACTGAGAGAAACCCCCTGTGCCAGGTAGGGAAGAGAAGATCGGGTTGGAATCCACTCTCTTGTGCTCACCAGACTTCTTCCCCACACTTGGCCTGGTCAGGAAGTGAGCCGAGATCAAGTTTGCAAATGCTCAGGAACCTCAGCAGATCCTTTGCATGAGACACGCAGTTACCCGAGAGCCCGTTAAGAGCGTGGGGCTGGGACTCAGGCAACCTGGGTGCTCGTTCCCGCTCAGCCATCAAACCAAATGGGTGGCTTTGGGCCAGTCACAGACTCCCAGCTCAGCCTACTTCATGGGATTATGGTTGAGGGGATAAGATTGAGAGCAGGAGGAAGAGAATGGTGTAAGCCACTTTGAGTTCTTTAAACCAGGAACGGGCAGGATATATATCTGTTAATAAAAAATAAATGATTCCTTGCAAAAGCATACAAACCGCATGAATCAAACGTGTTCAAGAAACTCTGCCTGAACTCACTTCCCGCCATGCAAACTCTTAAGCATGAGGTAAACTTAGAGAAGGGGGAAAAAAGTAGGAGGGAGTCCAGATAGCTCAGCTGAGGAAAACTGATGTTGTTTGGCCACAAACCAGGGATAACCTTGGAAGCAACATCCCTGGTTCAATCTCAGAGAGGGAAGCATGCCTCTAGGGAGGGGTCAAGGCTCAGTGGGAGAGTCCCAGGTTCATTCCCCAGTGTCCCCAGGGAGAGCAAGGAAAGATTCTTGCCTGAAGCCCTAAAGAGCTCCTACCATTAAGTATGGGCCATGCTGAGCTATGGACTGGCCACCTGGTTCAGGATAAGGCCAATGTTCTTCCAACTGCTCCTGCTGCAATGAGCGCGCACACACACACACACGCACTGTGTGCCCCCGCTTTCCAAACTATTTTATTCATATGCTAATCCATGCAGATTTAATCCAATAAAAACACGTGCAATTAGCTGCCTTACAACTTCTTTCATCAGGAGACAGTCTTGATTATTTTGCTGAATTATCAAGCAACACAGAGAGGGTGAAGTGGACAAGTGGAAGAAAGGTCCTTTTAGTTTCACAAATGTTCTCTGGGCAAAAACAATCAGGGCGTGTTGCACTGATGGCAGATGGGAACTGTGCGCAGACATGGCGTGGCAGTGAAGGGGCTTCAGTGCCCTTTGAGGGCTGTTGGAAACAGAGCCCTTGCACGTAGCATGTAGCCCGATTCCAGTTCCTTCATGGAGTCTGGGCAATTCCAACATCACATTCCCAAAGGCAAATTGCAAGGCTTCCATTCTGAAGCTGAGAGCCACACGGAGCTCCATGCAGCTGAAGACGCTGAAAGCAACATGGTCAGTTTGGGCTGGTCGGTCTGATTGTGAAACTGTTGCCCATCTCTAGCTTGCTAGGGAAACTAGACCAGAATAGTTCTTCTGGTTTCCCTTGCAAACTCTTGCTTTGTTGCAGCAAAGCCTCTTCAGATAAAGAAGACTGCCTTGAAGATCCCAAGGCTTTCCTCCTGGGCATTTCGTTTTCAAGTGGGCATCCCCAGTATGACACTCCCAAGCCTTGGATGATCAAGAATTTTTACCCTCTGCATTAGTAGCACCAGATCGATTCTGTCCTCCTTTCTCCCCAGGTCCCCTCCTTCCTTGAGTGTTTCCTTTGTGTTAAACACAAGCTAGCAAGCCCCTTGGGACAGAGACGTGTACTATGAATGATACAGGCATACCTGATGGCACAATAAGAACATTTGGAGGACCAGAGAAGCAGCCTTGGAGTTTAGCAGCATACAATTTTTTGGTGGGGTGCAGACTTTAAAAAACATTTATCCAAACAAATCAGGAGGAACACTGGGTAAAACTTGGCGACTGCTTCAGAACGGATGACAAGAGGGTGAATCTATTCCGATGCTAAAAGACAGGCTATGAATTGCTCCCATCAGGGAGATTTTTTACACATGTTCACACGGATGAAAAAGCACTGGTAGCCCTGAACAGCTTGCATACCAATCTCAGCAGCCCTTACCACGTAAGCCAGATTCAGCATGAATGACAGGGGACAGATTCTCACAGGCACCTCACAGGCACGCCCCATGAACGCGATCGGGCCAAGAGAAATGAGACACAGCGGGCAATCCCCATCTGGGTCCCACACTGACAGGCAAGCCAGGAGGCATCTGCTGCAGGGCGACTGTCACTCCCCCACCCAGTTCCCCCCCATGGTGCTGCGATGGTGCCAGGGGAAGAGTGCGCATGGTGAGATCCCGCTTCACATTCCCAAGATGCATGGCAGGCTGGCAGGCGTGTGATCAGGGGCACATGGGGAGAATAGTCCCCACTTAATTTCACTGATGACACTTCTATACCACCCAGCAGACAAACCACCAAAGGGTGGTTTAAAGGAGTGAAACACCTTCCAAACGCCCTATTAGACACGCATAAAAATGTTTCCATTCAGATGTATAGACAGCCAGATAGTGCGCAAATGTGGGTGCACACTCCAGCAACAAGGACCTTCCAGGATCTGGGTAACCGCCCCCCCCCCCTTATACTGCCTGACAGAGAGGGTCTTCACCTAGCACTGAAAGGGTAGCAGGGTTGGTCCAGGCGTGCATCACCAGAGCGGAACTTCCCAACCAGAGGGTCTACCCTGGAAGAAGCTTATGGGGGGCCTCACGTGGGCCTGTACACTCCTCCATGTACAGGCTTCATGTATATTGTCATCAGCCCTGCCCTCACCCCCTGGCCAGTGGTCTGAGCAGATCCAAATCACGATAGTGCTCAGCTCCACGTCTGCTCATCTGTTTTAAGGGGTGGGGGGATGTATGCAAGGAAGACCGTCATTCCTCTGCATGTATCTCACTTCTGCCCTTGCCAGGAATAAACCGTGGGTTTCACCTGCAAGGGAAAGGTCTGTGCTCTGTGGCTGAGCACCTGGCTGTGTTTGAGCCCCGGAAACTCCAGCCTGAACCATGCAGTGCTTATGCATTGAGGAGCTGGAGGAGCTGCTGCTGGTCTCAGTAGACAATTGTGGGCTAGATGGACCAATGGCCAAACTCTGCACAGGGAAGCTTTCTATGCTCACGTGGAATACAAAGAACCATCCAGCATGGGGTGATTCATGCACTTTTGCTGCTCAGATTACTGCCTTTATTAAGTCTGATTCAGCTTCATTAACCACCCGGATGCCTGACACACTCCTTAGACACCTTGCTGTTTTACCATCGGTAACAAAACAAAACAAAACAAACCCCCCCTCT